AGGCATGCTATTTAAGTTGAATCCTAAAGGGGAAATGAGGAAATGAGTTAGTCGGGTGGGGGTGGGAAGAGGTGGTGGGGGAGTGGTTAGCCTTTCAGGAGTCATAGCACATGCATGGGCTCTAGGGCAGGAAAGTCCTTGGCCCAGTTATAACCAAAGGAGGCCAGTGTAGCTGGAGCTTATCAATAGAGGGGGAGGATGGCCTGGCTGAGTGGGAGAGGTGGCCAGGAACCAAGTCTTGCAGGACCTGAAGGCCATGGTAAGGATTCGTTTTGTTTTATTTTGTTTTAAAGTATTTAAATGTAATGGAGGCATTTAAGGTATGTAATTGAAAGGAGGAGCTTGTTCTAATTCTTCTTTAAAATATTCCTTGAATTCCCATATAGAGACTGGATTGGAGAAGGGCAAGAGGAGAAACAGGACAGTTCACTGATCACTCAGTGCTCTAAAGTCTATGAAAGATACAAAAAAAATTATAAACCACAGTCTAAGATATCATAGGGGAAGCAGAACAAGAGGTGCCTGGACAGGTCTGCTATTGCACATAACAACTTCTGGTAAAAAAAAAAATTGAAAAACTATGGGGTTCTCTCAGCTTAACAGGAGTACAAGAAGGGAGGTACTCACAGAGCCAAGGAAGCTGTCATGAGGGAGAAGGATCTGGTTTGAGCCTTGAAAGGTGGGTAGGATTGGAACATTTTTCCAGGAGAAGGAGTTCTGGAAAGAAATAATGAGAGAGAGAGAGTAGCCTAGCTCGGGTAGAGGTCATGAGCCTGCCAAGTGAGCAAGCAACGCCCAGTGGAAGTCCCTGCAAACCCCAATAAGATTAAAAGCTGAGACAACCAAAGCTTTTGCTTTTTAGAGGTGTTGTTAAACGACATTCAAGGCTGACTTTCTAACTACTTCTGGAGGAAGGGATGTCCCCAACACATCTGGAACTGGTTCACAGAGCAGGGCACAGAAGGGAGGTGTTATGTACGTGATGAAAGTGGAAACTCTGTGAAGAATTAATCTTCTTGGAATTCTCTCCACTGGGTTGTTCCTTGGGTATCTGTGGGCACAGACCCACATGACTTCCACTTAGCCTTGGTAACTGGTCTTACTGGACCTGGTACCTTGGAGAAACTGCCCCTTGTTTTGGTTTTTAATCACAGGACTCCAGGGACACCTCAGATTTCTATCAATTGGGGAGATTTTGCCAAGTCACAGTCAAGATTTCCTCTCTCTTCCTTTCTCTCTCTTTCTCCTCCTCCCTCCCCTCCCCCCACCCTCTCTCTTTTTCCTTCCCCTGCATGTTGGCATGTTTGGGAAACTTCCGTTTTTTATGCTCTACCTCCTTTCCTTCCAAAGTTTATTCAGTGTGTCTTCTGGCTGTTTCATCTACCACTCAAGGCCTCTTGGAGGTCAGAGTGTTCTGAGCCATTCTTATTTTTAAGGCATCCAGTGTAGCATATGCTTACATAACATCAATTTCTCACTTCCTCACTAACAGAACTCCAAACATCAGGATGTCCAATCCACCTCATCTCACTGATAGCTTCTGGGGGCAAGTCCTAATTATTCTGAACCTATCAGGATTTGGAATTTCTCTGACAACTGTTACTGGTTGAGGGTGGCCAACAATCTTAAAATGGCCTAGTCAGATTGAAAAGGCCTTATATTCCATGGTTTGAAGAGAAGTTTTTCCTTTTCTCCTGAGTGACAGAAACAGAGAATGTACCCTCAGTCGCCATAAGCAGCCTTCTAGTTGCATCAGGGGTAACCATCAGCCTTAGGAAGAAGCTAACACTTGGCAAGGCAGAAGCTGACCAGAGAATAATATCAAATATATTTTCTGACCACAGTGTTATGAAACTAGAAATCAAGAACAAGAGAAAAACTGGAAGACACACAGATATGTGGAAATTATACAACACATTCCTTAACAACCAATGGGTCAAAGAAGAAATCAGAAGCAAAATGAAAAACTATTTCAAAATAAATTAAAAAGGAAGCACAGCATATGAAATCATGTGAGATGCTGCAAAAGCAGTTTGAGAGGGAAGTTTATGCATATATTAAGAAACTAGAAAGAACTCAAATAAATCACCTAACTTTACATCTCAAGGAACTAAAAAAGAAGAACAAAGTAAGTCCAAAGTTAGCAGAAGAAAGGAAATAACAAAGACCAGAGCAGAGGTAAATGACACAGAGATGAGAAAAACAATAGAAAAAATCAATGAAACTAAGAGTTAATTTTTGAAAACAGAAGCAAAATTGACAAACCTTTACCTAGACTAAAAAAAAGAGAGAGAGAGAGAGAGAGAGAGAGAGAGAGAAGACCCAAATAAAATCAGAAACAAAAGAGGAGACATTACACCTGATACTACAGAAATGCATAAGATCAAGAGACTACTGTGAGGGGCTTCCCTGGTGGTGCAGTGGTTGAGAGTCCGCCTGCCGATGCAGGGGACATGGGTTCGTGCCCCGGTCCGGGAAGATCCCACATGCCGTGGAGCCATGGGAGGGAGACGCAAGAGGGAGGGGTTATGGGGATATATGTATACATATAGCTGATTCACTTTGTTATACAGCAGAAACTAATACAACATTGTAAAGCAATTATACTCCAATAAAGATGTTTAAAAAAAAAAGACAAGAGATAGCAAGTTTTGGCAAGAATGTGGAGAAAAGGGATCACTTGTACATTATTGGTGGGAATGTAACTTGGTTCAGCCACTATGGAAATCAGTATGGATTTTCCTCATAAAATTAAAAATATAACTACTATGTCATCAGCAATCCCATTTTAGGTATATATCTAAAGGAAATGAAAACAGAATGTCAAAATGATATCTGCACTCCCATGTTTATTGCAGCATTATTCACAATAACAAAATGTGGAAACAACCTAAGTGTCTGTCAAAGGATGTGTGCCTAGTGAGATAAGCCAGACAGAGAAAGACAAATACTGTATGATATCACTTATAGGTGGACTCTAAAAAAGCCAAACTCGTAGAAACAGAGAGTAGAATGATAGTTACCAGGGGCTACAGGTGGAGAAATTGGGGAGATGTTGTTAAAGGGTACAGGCTTGCATCCAGTAAATGAATAAATTTTGGAAATCTAATGCACAGCATAGTGATTATGTCAACAGTACGGTATTATCCTTCAAAATTGCTGAGAGATTAGATCTTATATGTACTCACCACAAAAGAGAAATGATAATTATGTGATGTGATAGAGGTTATAACTAAAGCTATGGTGGTTATCATATTGCCAAATATAAATGTATCAAATCAACATGTTGTACACCTTAAAGTTAAACAACGTTATATATAAATTCTATCTCATTTTTTTAAAAAAAAGAATGAATACTTGTATGTTTACTGACATGAATAATTATCCAAGGAATATTTTTAAAGGGGGGGAAAAAGCAAGTGGAAGAACCATATACAGCTGTCTTTGCAGGGAGTTTGTTCCAGGACCCCCGCAGATACTAAAGTCTGCAGATGCCCAAGTCCCTTATATAAAATAGTGTAGTATTTCCATATAACTTATGCATATCCTCCCATATACTCTAAATGTCATCAAGATAACTTATAATAACTAATACAATGTAAATGGTAAGTAAATAGCTGTGAATAAGATGTAAATGTTATGTAAATAGTTGCTGGAATGCAACAAATTCAAGTTTTGCTCTTTGGAAGTTTCTGGAATTTTTTTCCCTGGATATTTTCTATCTGCAGTTGGTTGAGTCCAAGGATGCAGAACCTGCAGATACAGAGGATTGACTATATAGCATGTGATTTCATTAAAACATATAAATATATGGTATGTATTTTTCTACATGAATTGAAAGTAAAACTCTAAACTGTTTCATATTCTATGCTACTAGTGTTTGTGTTGTTTAAAAACACATGAACTAAGATAAAGAAATGTTCATCAGGCAGACCAATAAGCAACCATTTTTATATCTATCCCAGTTAGGGTTTCTCTAATTTAACTGATTTTAGGAATGCGTGGGGTGACTTTTCAAAATGCAGGCTCCCATGCTACATCCCAGACCTATTAAATTAGCAACTCTAGAAAAGAAATCTGTGTATCTACTTTTAAAATTGCTCTCAGCGGTGGCGGGGGGACCTTCAAGACGGAGGAGGAATAACACTTGGAGATCACCTTCTTCCTCACAAATGCATCAAAAATACATCTACACGTAGAACAACTCCTACAGAACACTTACTGAACGCTGGCAGAAGACCTCAGACTTCCCAAAAGGCAAGAAACTCCCCCAAGTACCTCTGTAGGGCAAAAGAAAAAAGAAAAAACAGAGACAAAAGAATAGGGATGGGACCTGCACCTCTGGGAGGGAGCGGTGAAGGAGGAAAAGTTTCCACACACTTGGAAGCCCATTCACTGGCAGAGATGGGGGCTGGTGGTGGGGAAGCTTCAGAGCCACAGAGGACAGCGCAGCAACAGGGGTGCAGAGGGCAAAGCGGAGAGATTCCTGCACAGAGGATCGGTGCCAACCAACACTCACCAGCCCGAGAGGCTTGTCTGCTCACCCGCCAGGGCAGGTGGGGGCTGGAAGCTGAGGTTCAGGCTTCGGAGGTCAGACCCCAGGGAGAGGACTGGGGTTGGCTGTGTGAACACAGCCTGAAGGGGGCTAGTGCACCTCAGCTAGCCGGGAGGGAGTCCAGGAAAATGTCTGGATCTGCCGAAGAGGCAAGAGACCATTGTTTCGGGGTGCGCAAGGAGAGGCGATTCAGAGCACCGCCTAAATGAACTCCAGAGACAGGCGCGAGCCACGGCTATCAGCGCAGACACCAGAGACGGGTATGAAATGCTAACGCTGCTGCTGCAGCCACCAAGAATCCTGTGTGCAAGCACAGGTTACTGTCCACACCTCCCCTGAGCCTGCCAGAGAGGCAAGAGACCGTTGTTGCGGGGTATGCAAGGAGAGGGGTGGGCCCACCATAGGAACTTCCTGCTCCATGTGCCCACAGATGGCAGGGCACTGCCTACGTGAGCTCCAGAGGAGGGAGGGAGTCGCGGCTGTTATCTCGGACCCCACAGGAGGACACCACGACTGCTGCCACTGCCAACAAGGATCCTGTGTGCAAGCACGGGTCACTGCCCACAACTTCCTGGGAGCCTGTGCAGCCTGCCACTGCCGAGGATCCTGCAATCCGGGGCCAACTTCCACTGGAGAATGCATGGCGCACCTCACACTGTGGCAACATCCTGCTGGCCTCTGCTGCCGCAGGCACTCCCCACACATTCTTACTGTGACTGCTGTATCCCTTCCTCTCTCTGGCCTTAGTGAGCAGGTGGGCCTTAATCAGCCCTTGCTTTCGCCCCCTCTTGCCTGAGTGGGGAACAGACACCTGAGGGCAGCCCACATGCAGAGGCAGAGCCAAAACCAAAGCTGAACCCCAGGATCTGTGAGACCAAAGAAGAGAAAGGGAAATATCCCCGTGCAGCCACAAGAGCAGCAGATTAAATCCCCGCAATCAGTTTGGTAAATCCTGCATCTGTGGAATACCTGAATAGACAATGAGTGTTCCCACAATTGAGGCTGTGGACCTCGGGGGCAACTGTGGAATTTGGGGGCAAGTACACGCCAGAGTAAGGACAGATCAGAGTCTAAGCTGGCCTCACAGTGCCCACAGCAGGTCCAGAAACCTACCTGGAAGTATTGGAGACCCTGTCAGCCACACGGCCAGGTGCCTGGGGAGTTTCTTGCCTTTTGGGAAGTCTGAGGTCTTCTGCCAGCATTCATTAGGTGTTCTGTAGGATTTATTCCACATGTAGATGTATTTCTGATGTATTTGTGGGGAGGAAGGCGATCTCCACATCTCACTCCTCTGCCATCTTGAAGGTCTCCTCCCAAAATGTCTTTCAGAAGGTAACAATTTCCAGATGTCAAAAACTGTTATACACCGCCAATTACATTTTGTCACATCCACTCCCTGGGTAATAGATGATTCTGCTCCAAGGTCAAAGGACTCAGCTCAGTGCAGGACTCATTCCCTGTATCTTCGATAATCTTTACCTTCAGTAGGTTGGCAGACAGATCATTTTAAAGACAGAAGAACAGGGTGGGGGACGAGGGGAAGATGGCAGAAGAGTAAGACGCGGAGATCACCTTCCTCCCCACAGATACACCAGAAATACATCTACACGTGAAACAACTCCTACAGAACACTTACTGAATGCTGGCAGAAGACCTCAGACCTCCCAAAAGGCAAGAAACTCCCCATGTACCTGGGTAGGGCAAAAGAAAAAAAGAAAAAACAGAGACAAAAGAATAGGGACGGGACCGGCACCAGTGGGAGGGAGCAGTGAAGGAGGAAAGGTTTCCACACACTAGGAAGCCCCTTCGCAGGCGGAGACTGCAGGTGGCAGAGGGGGGAGCTTCCGAGCCGCGGAGGAGAGCACAGCAACAGGGGTGCGGAGGGCAAAGCGGGGAGATTCCCGCACAGAGGATCGGTGCTGACCAGCACTCACCAGCTCGAGAGGCTTGTCTGCTCACCCGCTGGGGTGGGCGAGGCTGCGAGCTGAGGCTCGGGCTTTGGTCAGAGCGCAGGGAGAGGACTGGGGTGGGTGGCGTGAACACAGCCTGAAGGGGTTAGTGCACCACGGCTAGCCGTGGGGGGAGTCCGGGAAAAGGTCTGGAGCTGCCGAAGAGGCAAGAGACTTTTTCTTCCCTCTTTGTTGCCTGGTGCGCGAGGAGAGGGTATTGAGAGCACTGCTTAAAGGAACTCCAGAGACGGGCGCGAGCCGCGGCTAAAAGCACGGACCCCAGAGACGGACATGAGACGCTAAGGCTGCCGCTGCCGCCATCAAGGGGCCTGTGTGCGAGCACAGCTCACTATCCACACCCCTCTTCCGAGGAGACTGTGCAGCCCGCCACTGCCAGGTTCCCAGGATCCAGGGACAACTTCGCCGGAAGAACGCACAGCGGGCCTCAGGCAGGTGCAACGTCACGCCGGCCTCTGCCGCCGCAGGCTCGCCCCGCACTCCATGGCCCTCCCTCCCCCCAGCCTGAGTGAGCCAGAGCCCCGGAATCAGCGGCTCCTTTATCCCCGTCTTGTCTGACCGAAAAACAGACGCCCTCCAGCGACCTACACGCAGAGGCGGGGCCAAATCCAAAGCTGAGCCCCTGGGAGCTGTGAGAACAAAGAAGAGAAAGGGAACTCTCTCCCAGCAGCCTCAGAAGCAGCGGATTAAAGCTCCACAATCAACTTGATATACCCTGCATCTGTGCAATACATGAATAGACAACGAATCATCCCAAATTGAGGAGGTGGTCTCTGAGAGCAAGATTTATGATTTTTTCCCCTTTTCCTCTGTTTGTGAGTGTGTATGTGTATGCTTCTGTGTGAGATTTTGTCTGTATACCTTTGCTTCCACCATTTGTCCTAGGGTTCTATCCGTCCATTTTTTTTAAAAAAATTTTTTCTTAATAATTAATTTTAATAACTTTATTTTATTTTACTTTATCATCTTTCTTTCTTTCTTTCTTTCTTTCCTTCCTTCCTTCCTTGCTTCCTTCCTTCCTTCCTTCCTTCCCTCCTTTAGACAACGAATCATCCCAAATTGAGGAGGTGCACTTTGAGAGCAAGATTTATGATTTCTTCCCCTTTTTCTCTTTTTGTGAGTGTGTGTGTGTACGCTTATGTGTGAGATTTTGTCTGTATAGCTTTGCTTCCACCATTTGTCCTAAGGTTCTATCTGTCCATTAAAAATTTTTTTTCTTAATAATTATTTTTTAATTTAATAACTTTATTATATTTTATTTTATTTTACTATATCTTCTTTCTTTCTTACTTTTTTCCTTCCTTCCCTCCTTCCTTGCTTCCTCCCACCATCCCTCCCTCCCTCCCTCCCTTTCTTTCTTTCTTTCCTTCTTTCCTTTTCTTCTTTCTTTCTTTCTTTTTTCCTTCCTTCCTTCCCTCCTTTCTTACTTTCTTTCTTCCTACTTCTACTAATTCTTTCTCTCTACTTTTCTCCCTTTTATTCTGAGCCGTGTGGATGAAAGGCTATTGGTGCTGCAGCCAGGAGTCAGTGCTGTGCCTCTGAGGTGGGAGAGCCAGCCAACTTCAGGACACTGGTCAACAAGAGACCTCCCAGCTCCACATAATATCAAATGGCGAAAATCTCCCAGAGATCTCCATCTCAACACCAGCACCCAACTTCACTCAATGACCAGCAAGCTACAGTGCTGGACACCCTATGCCAAACAACTAGCAAAACAGGAACACAACCCGCACCCATTAGCAGAGAGGCTGCCTAAAATCATAATAAGTTCACAGACACCCCAAAACACACCACCAGATGTGGACCTGCTCACCAGAGAGACAAGATCCAGCCTCATCCACCAGAACACAGGCACTAGTCCCCTCCACCAGGAAGCCTACACAACCCACTGAACCAACTTTAGCCACCGGAGACAGACAGCAAAAACAACGGGAACTAGGAACCTGCAGCCTGCAAAAAGGAGACCCCAAACACAGTAAGATAAGCAAAATGAGAAGACAGAAAAACACACTGCAGATGAAGG